CCCTTAAATGCATAGAGTCCCAAAAATGAATCAATAACTTTTTGCGCGGATACCCGACAACAGTTTTGATATCGATACATTTGGCTGAATGGCAGTGATTCCTTTGTCCATTGACTTATCAAAAATTAACTAAAATAATGACATTTGACTTCAATATTTGTATCTTTCTGACGTTATACCAATTGGCGCGCATTTTTGATAGCGGGTTCATTTACGTACTCTTTTGGAAGTGGATTATTTAGAAATATTTTGGTGTATTCGTTAAACAAACAATATTTTCTAAAGGTAAGGCTCTTATTTATTAATTTGCTAGTACTTTTGTCTATATTCCGTAACTATCATGTGTATGGAGGGCTTATTTCGTGTTGATGCAAAAATGGGACAACATGCACTAATGGTAATAATTACGACATGTATTTAGTACTATGCTTCCTTTATTGGTTTGTTGGTTTTGTTTTGGTGTGGTATGCATGTGGTTTATAATTTTGTTATAGATATGTCATACTAACTAAAGAATTTTTATGTCTATTTTGCATAGTGTACCAAAAATGAATCATTAATATTTTTCAATAAAAACCCTATAAGATATGACTTATAATTTTTTTTAATATTTTTCCCGATTTCCACTCGTTTGAAAAATTATAACCCTATTTTTTAAATAAAATTCATTAATTCATGCATTTAAGGGTTAATAAAGTGGAGGTTAATCAATACCGTAAAAGTACGGTTTCAATTTCTTGAACAAAATGTCTCGATTCAAATTAGAGGAAGAGGAAAGTGTCGCAGGATATTTAACTACCGAACAGGTTGGGGAACAATACTGCGAACACCTGATTCCACCTTAGTTTCGAAGGATACGAGGGATCGTAGGCTCGTACATGGCAGGGTATACTTGTTTACAGGCGAGACCATAATTCTCGCGGTGGTAACAGGCTCTCTGCGTTTGGGGCGGCCGATAAAAACCGCTGCGGAATCCCCGGTACCTTTGGGTTCTTGTAGCGGACCGCCGCGCATTAAACCACGGGCTTCTACTCGATTTCTACGCCGGCCGCTTTCCATCCCATTGACTTCGGATACCGGCAGGGCCCGTAGAGTCACCCTCGTGTCAGGTAAACAGGCCGAGAAACTTGCAAAGTATCCGGTAAGAGTTCTGCCGGGAAAGGCTCTCAGGTACTCGTTCGTGAAATCGAGCTCGAAACCGACGTCTGCGAAACGTATTTCGCACCCTCCCCACCCACGCGAACTCTCCTGGCGGAACCCGAAAGATGGATGGGGTTGCGCTGTTTCGGTCTCGGTTACATGTTTCGGGGTCTATGTACAGCGATATACATAACAGTTTTAGAAAGAAATAAATTCACCGGCGTGGCGGCGGAATGTTTAATGGACTGGGCGGGGAGAGCCTCGGAACGTTTTTGTTAGACCCCCGATGGGGCGCGGCGCGAACCCAACCGGAATTCGAATTTATTGCACCGCTTCGGTTAATGATAATCAAGCCGGACCATCATCGCACTGTGATTTCGTTCACGGGAAGAGGAACTCGATCCTATCGGCGAAATATCCGTGTCATCTCTGCTGTTCGAATTTGAATAACGTCGCAGCAGACCGTATATTAATTGTACAATATATTGACCACTGTTTAAGACTTTGTTAAGACTTTGATGTTGAAGACTTTTATCAGACGTATTTTTGTTTTATTCGATTGTCAGAATTATGGAGAACACGGGATTTTAGATAAAAGAACAATTTCTTGGTTACAGTACAAGATTGAATCTTTATTACACATGTGGAATGCGTGTGGATGGTAACCTTTTGCAGTCGAAGCTATTTTAATTCGAAATCGAAAACATGTTTTCTGATCTACAGTATTTCCATTTTATGATTTAGTACGATTTATTCATATGAAATTGAGCTTATTGACAAGTAGAATACTTGCAATTTTAACAGTTTCTTAAAAATATAAACGAACCTGATGCCGTTACAATTATTTAGAAAAATAGTATAGCAATTTTTAGTGGCGCCTTAGAGCCGCCACTCGAGCACAAAGGGTGAAAAATTCAGATATCAGAGATATTGATAATCGAAGCTCCACTTTAACGGTTGAACTTTTTATCTTTATCTTCTCTAAATAACATTTTGCACAAACCTTTTTGCTTGTACCGTTTGTTATCTGTTATTTCGAAGCTTAGTAAATCATTTTTCAAAAATTCAATGTTCGCGTGCAAATTCAACATTTTTAGCTAAGGTAAAGCACTTCAAAAGTACTGTTCGAATTCGACATTATTTTTACACTTGTGCGTGTCGAAGTTTTGCAACCATTTGAAAATATACGATGACAAGACAACAGATATCAATCTAGAACATTCGACACCGTTCGAAAGTTTTATAAAGTCGAAATCTCTTAGAGAGTATGTATCGTGTTCAAAATCAGGAACGAATCACACCTACCGAGTATCTCGGGTTCAAAAGGGGTCGGAGCAAGCAACAGATTCCATCACGCCCACATCCTCAAATCCGCAATGACCCTCTTACCCACTCTCCGTGTACCCTTGAGCCCTGCCATCTCTACAAATACATATTCAAAGCGTACAAATCCGCCCATCAGTGTATGCCGATTCGAACACGCGAGAAGGAATCTCGAAGTGCTGTATCGAGCCAAAAGCGGTGTTGCGTTCCGAGCAACAGATATGTACCATAATTAACCTTTACACAGTCGTTCGTTATTTCGTTTTATACATTGAGTACGTTTGTATCCCATATACATAGGGTGTCCCAAAAATGTCTCGCAATTCGGAAATGGGGGGAGGGGGTACCGAGGTCATTTGAAGTAATTCTTTTCTTAGCGAAAATGTAATCCGCGGCTGACACGATCAGCTGACACGAGACGGCCTAACTAATAAGCAGAATTACTAGCAACTAGCAAATTATCTTCTATGCATGATCGGCACATTTTATCTGAAATTATTGTTATCATTGTCTCTATAGTTACCGTCAAACTGTCCGCTATTTCGGCTATTAGGGATAATTAAAAATCCTTTTCTTTTAAATATTAGGTTAGGGAATAAGATCGTAGCGTTTTTATTTGAAGGCGATTTTCTTCGTTGTTTTCGTTAAGCTCGCGAGGCACTCAGGCTCCCAATTTTTCGGCAAATCCCATTGAACGAAGATGATCGAGAATCGTTTTATGATCGCAGTTCATTTTTTCGGCCAATTCGCGACTCGTTTGGTGATCGTCCTCCTT